GTTCTGTACCGACTCATTCGACGTCCGCATTTGGTCCCTAAGTAATGGCCATGTGTTTCAACCACCTTAAATATTCTGGGTCACCGGTTCTTATGACCCATTTCAAGCAAATAATTGGACAGGGGCTAAGTATACTCGTGTACACTGCTTATATTTATGCAGCGTTCATCTAGTACCACGCCGAGATCATTGGTTATAGTCAGTGTCAGACCACAACCGACAAAGTACTAACATGGTAAGTGTCTGACGTCCCCATAAACAGGCTGGAGAAAACATTCAGTACTCCGGTAGCAGCACCGAGCAAGCGTATCGTCGGGGCTTTTGATTCAGTTGGCTTATTCCCTTCCATCCTATCTCCAAATAGTGTAGTGTTATCACTGTACGCTCATTCCAACCGGATTTACCAGCCCTAAACAGTGATGAATCAAAGGTGAAACTATCTTCTGACTGAAGTCCATGCCACCACCTACCATGTCCGCTGTCATCCGGGACGAAACGTAAACGGATAAGTTAATCATCCTGAATCGACTGACTTTCTGTGTGACACCATTCCATACAGAATTGTCGCGGCGGTCCGAAAATCCTAAAATTAATCCACTCCGGCGTTTCTCTAAGCAGCTGTAAAAAAATTGGTATCCCTCAATTTGTGTTCAACGTCATATTCAGACTCAGTTAGCAGGTTTCAGTCACTCGCCATTCCTTTTGACCTTGTCAGCCAGTGCACCAGCATGACCCATCACACGAACCGATGAATCACGCCGACCGTTCTTTTGAACTTGAAACCACCACGCTCGCCTGACCGATGTGCACCTCTCTCGAAGCTGGAAAAGTACAGCACGCCAAACAACCCGCTGGGTCAGGTAACGGCACCACGTTGAATGGCAGAAATGCGAATCCTTAAAGTCTCCAAGCGAATAACCTCTGCTGGTTAGGAGAATGTCATCGATTAGTTAAGACAGGTTTAGCTTGCCCGTAATGTTTGAAACGGTATATAATGCGAACTTTGCGAAATTTGTACCGACAACAATTACGCCAGCAATAGGACTCACCGGATGCGCTTTGGTTCTGTAATGTGTGCGCCACCACCCCACTTATTAACTGCCTGCTTAACCCAGTCCATTAATGCGAATGGTTAACCGCAGAAGCCAAACAGAGAATAAACGATAAGACTACTTCAAAGGAAGTGATTAGGCATCAAGTTAGTCTAGCAACGGAATGCTGGAAAATGCACTTCCTCTGAACCGCAGTCAGCCACGTCCCCATATCCGTTGTGTTCTCCAAATCTTTGGTAGAACGCTGGGCGAACATTGGCGTACCTATCGATAATCCTGGCAATGGAAATCAAGCATAACCCGGAAAGTCCGGTTAAGCAAATTCCACTAGCTCTGGCATCTAGCATTAACAGAATGACGCAGCCAAACATCGACCCTTGGTACCTGCAGCTCAAAGGTCTCTTATGGAGTCAAAACACAGAGCAAATCATTTACATGTGCAGAGATTGCTGCAAAGGTCAGGCCATAGAATCCTGAAAATTCTACTTCAATCAGTGCGAAAAGCAAAAGATGTTTCTGGTCGATGACGGGATGTCGGAGAACCCTTCATTTCGAACATCGGTTCAAAGGTCACAAAACTTTTACATAGTTCAAATATCAAAGCCCTTGAAGCAACAAGCGTACCGACGATGATAAACTAGCATAATATGACAGCTGATGTATTTGATTCTGAGGTAGGTCAGGGAGGATTAATACGCTAAGTTATGTCGCTTATTTATGCTTTGGTTCGTTTTTTTTTGCGGACGTGGATTATTTTTTGATTTCTCTCGTGTCTTGTTTTTTATTGCAATTTATTTTATTCTTTTGTTACTTATTATTTAATACCTTTTGTGATGTTGTTTTTCTTTTTTGTTTGAGTCTTTAGGTTTTTTAATTCTTTTGTTCTTATTCGGTGCCTTTCATATTGTATTTTATTGCCTTCGTATTTTTGTATTATTTTTCTTTGGACTGGTTCCTATATGTTAGTTTTCTTGGTTATAGGGGGAGTGTTGGAGGATGGGTGTAGTCGGACGAAGCTATATGGGTGATAGTCAGTACGGGGTTGGTGTGAGTGCCAGAGGGTTGTTGGTTATTGACGAGTGTGGGACTGGGGGGGCTCTTGTTATACCTGACGTTGTGAGGGTTTATTGAGTTTTTATAGTGTACTTGGCAGATTTGTTGGGAATTTAAGTTTAGGGTTATTGCGAAGAGGTTGGCTTCGTTGTTTCCTTTGTTGTACCGTCTGAACTTTGTGTTACTTATCTTGACTTGGAGTCCGCCAACGACATTGCCCCAACTGTTGACAGCTTCCAAACGTGCTAAGTCCTGGATAAACTATCTCTGGCTGTCAGTCGTTTCGGACTATGCTTTTTACTCTTGAACTGTAAAGTCCTCCAAGATTGACAGGGACTGCCTCCTGTGCTGACCCTTGGCGGTGATCAGCTAGATATCGTCCAGAAATTCAAATATCTCGGCAGCTATATTCGCGCGCCAGTGGAATGAAAGATGAAGTCAGGAACCGTATAGCGAATGCTCGAGGTCTTTTTGCCAATTTCTGCCATCTGTCGCGTCAGCGCGACATCGCTCTCGTCCTGAATGGCAGAGTTTACAATGCAACCGTCTTTTCAACCTTCCTGTGCGGTCGCGAAACCTGGCCCATCTAGTCGACTGACATAACGTGGCCTGTTACATACGACTATCTTTGTCTTCGCATATTATCCTATGTCTGATGGGAACACCGCGTGAGCAATGTACGTATTCGGCGTCGTGCATTTGGTGCCGAAAGAGCGAGTGTGCACCACTCAGCACCGTTGTATCGCACTCCAGGCTCCGATTGCTGGGCCATATGCCAGCACACCGACTTCCTTGTCGTGCTTTGTTTGCGCGACCTGGGTATGGATGAAAGAAGAATGAGGGGAAACCAAACGTTAACTTGGTGAAGAGGAATGAAGGCCCTTAGTTTGAATTTGGCGTCGTTTGGTGTCTCCCGACTGCCGGGCTGGAGTCCGAATAGCAATGCACACGTCTGGTTGGATACACTTGTTGACATGGCAAAGAGCCGACCGCATTGCGTTTGTACTGGGAGTTTCTTCGTTCATCCCCTCTCCTTTAGCTTCCGTCTCCAGCAACGATCTCATAATCCATGCATAATATTATATTTACCATTGTATTACTTTTTGTTCTTTTTAGAGTCTGTAATGTCTGATATCTTCCCCTTTTTATTGCGGCACAATGTTCGACATGGATACGGAACCATTGTTTCGTGGGTTTTAACTATGAATGTAGCTCTGCTTTTGTGGCACTTTAAGGACGTTGATACACTTTTGACAGCGTTTAGCCAGTACTTCCGTCTGTTTTTCCATGAAAGACCAGTACACATAGCTGCGGGCAACTGCCTTCATCCGATCGATCTCAGGATGCCCGGTATGAAACTGCCGAAATACTCGCTCTTGTAGGGACTTCGGATAACAACTCCTTCCGATAATAATATGCAGTCGCCTACAGTGGATTGATTGTCTCCTCTGGTAGTGTTGCGGGTGCTCGACTGATGGTCATGAGCGTGGGCAGCTGGTTCTGTAAAACTGTTTGATCTTGAGTACTCGGTCACGTAGCGTTTCCGTTCATGCAGTTTCTACGGTAACTGGTACCTTATGTAATGCGTCCCTCACCAGGAAGTTCACGTCTTCCGGTATAGGTAATGAGTAATGGATCAGTTGAGAAATCAGTGCAGATGCGTACCTTGCCATTCGCTTCCTTCACTGCGACAACGGGTGCAACCCATGAAGTCGTTCACAGCTGTAATGACTCCGACTTATTTTTCTCGACAGAGTTCTTGTCCAACCACCGGACTTTTAGCTTTGAAGATTGGCTTGCCTCATAAGCGCAGGCACAGCGTTACCTTGATATTTGCGCAATAATCTAGGCCATCCTGAAACACAGAGGCGCATTTTTGCTTCAGCATCTGCGTCATGTCATCGTCGGACTTCGTTGATGGGTCTAGATTTGCTCTTATTCGCTTACAAAGCTGATTCAACGGAATATCAAGATGTCATACTTTTTCAATCGAGTCAAGCCCATTAGGTTCGAATTCGGCCGGTCTGACACGTTTCTGTCTCTTCCATGCAATTGAATGCAATTATGCATATGCTTTCTCCGATGCAATTTAGCATACCACCGGATGCATTGTGTGCAATGTGAGGGTTGACCATCTTTGGCCTTATGTGATTCCATGTGTTCCTGGACATGGTCGTAAGATTTGAGGCGTTGTCGAACTGCTTATCTTGTTGAGATTCCATGAATGAGCACGATTATAATTCGTCGCTGCAGTCTTGACTCGTTTTAAAATGCGGCAACAACCGATGGAGATACTGCGCCAGCCTTTCAAATGTTCTTATTTCGATAAGACTTAATGTTCTTTGGCCGGAACTGCCGAATAAAATTTCATCTATGACCTCGCTTATGGCACTTTTCACAAGTGTAGCGTTTGGCACTCTCACCGAGGCTACTCTACGCTATTGCATGCCACTCAACTACTCACTGATGATGTCACCTCGATTGGTGACGAAACGTTTGCATCAAAATTGCCAAGCTCAGCGAACAGTTCAACAGCCCGTGTAGCGTTTAATGTGGCAGAAGCGTACAAAATGCTATTCACCACATGTTGGGTCGTTCGGCGCCCTCTTGAACGATTTGTTCGGGCTACCGGTCTGACCCCGTCTACAACATATACGATAACTGGTAATGCGGATCGATTCTGTTCAATTAGAGCAGTGTCTTGTTTCATGGTGATCATATGTTTGCGTTCGCATACAATGAATGTTAGTGCCAGCTCTGAATCCTGATCCATTATGATAAAAGCCGCGTGCGATTTTCAACGTCGCGCGGGGACTGTAGGACACTGGCAAAATTGAAACATTTAAACTGACCATCTGTTAGAGCCTGGCTTGGAACGATCATTCGCGACTGATCATGTCTACTAGAGCATCATAATTGTCCACTTTTTTGACAATCTTTAAGCATTGAGAAGATATAATGCACTAAGGTACTGACCTACCAAAATTTCAGTTATCTGCGACGCTGTTTCTTCGAACGTGAGATCCTTCTGTTGGTTTTGCAGGATGTGGTCAACGGATCTTGAATGTTCGTTTGTACCGAGTTTACGTAGTAGTTATCGCGCTTTCCAGCAATCATCCTGACGACTAAAATCCGTCTAGATCATGACTTCGCAGCGTTTGAAAAGGCATCCAGAATCCGGCTCATAATTAAATTCACTGGTAGCATTCGTGAGAAAAGACGACAGAATTAGCCTGCGTGACTAAATGCTTAGGCAAAACGTCAAATTTTCAATCCTTTCCATTTGCGCCGCAATTTCGCATTGTTGTTGCGGAAGCAGCTCCTAAAATCCTTCAGCAACAAAATTCATCACATTTCCAATTTTCTCCGTCGCCATTTGTTAGATCTTCTTAGTGGTTGCGATTCTGAAATAAGCACTTAACTGTTCAACAAATCCTCTAACCCAACTGAGTGAAAATCCTGAAGTTAAACGACCTTGACAATTTAACGCATTGACCGCCGCCAAAAACACCACTTGGTCATATTTATAGGTCACTTAATGACCTTCTGGAATGGGAAAGTCAGCTGGCAAGATTAGCAGTGTCATACCTATCCAGCCAATCTTCAGGAGGTTGGTAGCCGCATTCAAGCTTTGGGACATACCAGAAGGTTCGGAATCGATGTGCTAGTCGGTAGCAGTCGATTAATCGTTGAAAGTATTTTTTTCGGGAAATTCTGACTGTTTCCCAGACACCTTTAACTGGTGCGCTTTTGTTCGTAATCTGTTCATTGTGTTTCACCACTTAGCTTTTATTGGTTTTTGTCACTGTTTCATTCACTTTGTGCTTCGTTTATCCAAGCATAACTGATAAGTGAACTTGTGGAACCCGGGACTTTGCTGTTGCCGCACTAAATCCTATTTTCTTCCTTACCTTTGAGATGTCGGTGAATTGACACACTACATCCTACTTGTGACACATTGAGACTACTTTTCGACGCTGCTTATTTGTACCTGTTTCATTTTACCCACCTGCCCAACCCGCAGGCCAAGCCTCTCATCGACTTATCTGGCGCGCCGTCGGACCAATTGTGGACCCTTGTAATGAGCTGTCCGGACGAGCCCATCGGAGAGCAGGATAATCTTCCTCCACCGAATGAATATATTCACTGGATCGTGTGAGTCCCGTCCAAAAGACAAAGCCACAACGGTTCTTTTCCATTAGCTAGCATTACGTTGGTGTTTGCTACCAGGAACACCGCCTAGATGAACATGCTCTTTAATTTTCCTTGAATCGCTTGCATTCGAGTTATTTGTGGGCACTAACAAATAGATGCCCTCGGGCATTTATCTTTTCTGTACGCCGTGGTACCATTTCGATCAGGTGGTGTTTACGTCTAAGCACTTTTGTCTTGCTGGCTGAACAAGTGTCGTAACGGCATGATCTTTGCGCTTCTCTTCGCACTGAATTATTTGATCAAAAAGGTGTTCCAGGACCATTTCAGCTGAATCTGGTGTCCGATGTTAATCAACGTGGACAAAACTGGGCAGCTTATAATTTACACCTGAGAAAACGATAGTCTAATCTTCGTCTGGCATCATCATCATCATCATACACGTTAGCTAGAGGTGGGGAACACCTCGTCTGGCGACTCATTGAGATTGGACAACAAGATTATGAAGTCACACTCAATGGTATCTACCCTTGCGAAACTATTTACGTAGTTTTCTACACCGCCATTAACCTTGGAATGACGGAAATTCGTGTGTGTATCATGGTCCGTCATTCTGATATGACGACGCATCCTTAACAGATAATTTTTACCCAGCTTTCTTCTTCAACTTCGCTGTTGACGAAGTCATGGAAATCGCGTTCACAGGACACGACTTAGAAGGTGTGGATCTGCTCCCAGGAGAACGACTTCTTGACTTAGAGTATGCTGATGATATTGCCCTAATCTGTGACAGCTCACAAACGTGTCAAGCGGCACTGGACAGATTAGCACTAACTGTCCGTCACTTCGGGCTTTGCTTCTCACCCTCGAAATGCAAAGCGTTCCTCCAATATTGGTCTGGACCGCCTCCTACGCTGACCCTTGGTGGGGATCAGCTAGAAGTCGTTCAAAAATTCAACTACCTGGGAAGTTGTATCAGCGTCCGTGGGATTGAAGATGAAATCACGAATCGTATAGCAAAAGCTCGGGGCGCTTTTGCTAACCTTCGCCACTTGTGGCGCCGGCGCGACATCACTCTTGCCTTGAAGGGTAGAGTGTACAATGCAGCAGTACGTTCGACCCTACTGTACGGTTGTGAAACCTGGCCGCTTAAAGCAGCGGACCTGAAGAAGCTAGTTACGTTCGACCACCGGTGCCTTCGTAATTTAGCTCACATCTGGTGGGATCACCACGTGAGCAACGAGCGTGTTCGACGCCTTGTTTACGGCACAGGCGAAGGAAATGATCCGCTCAGCACCGTTATTTCACGCATCAGGCTCCGATGGCTCGGCCACATGTTACGCATGCCAGCCCACCGACTCCCGCGACGTGTGTTGTTTGCGCGCCGGGGGTGTGGATGGAAGAGGAGGAGGGGTAGCCAAGCGATGACTTGGTCGAGAGGAATGAAGGCCCTCACTTCTGAGGTGGCCTCGGTTGGAGCGTCTCGGCTCCCAGGTTGGGGTCCGAAAGATGATGAACACGTTTGGTTGGACACACTTGCTGATATGGCTAGGAGCCGACCTCAGTGGCTTTCGTGCTGTGAGTTTCTTTGTGAGTTTCTCTTAGCCTCCCCCTCCAACCACGATCTCATTATTTAGCCTTATATAATTTTGCATAATAATTTTTTTGGGTGCACAGCAGCCGGCTGATAGCTTACCGGAACAATGCCCATCCGTTACTGGTAGCTCAGCCAGCTTGCACCAGTTGCATATTTTTTCTCTCCTTTTTTCTGTGTATTGCGGCACAGTAGCTGAGGTGTTCCCCGCCTCTAGCTAACGTGTATGATGATGATGATGATGATTTACCCAGCTGTGTGCAAATGCACCTTTGTGTTCCAATCAGAGTCCGGACATTTGTCCGGAAGGAAGTGAACGTTCCAACGAAGATAGCTCTTTTCGGCGGGAAAACGATTTGGTTCAATGATGTACTGCCGACGGATATCTCCACATTGTCATCGTTCCGGTGAACAATTAATCGTCGTGGCGATTTTTTTAATCAGAGCTCATTAATCGTGTCCCCTAGTTATTCAACTACTGAGGGAGAATAGTACATCAAGGATGTCATACAGCGTACGAGCGATTGCAAGCTGATATCAGATCTATCGCTCACTCATTGCAACTTAACAGTGGAAATAGTCATGTTTACCTATGCATTGTTTACGAAAATTAACCCGTCATTTCACACCAATTGCCGAACGGTTCTGAGTAGGCGATGACAAATGTTGTGCCAAAAAAGAATATCACTAGAGAAGAAAACATTGACTCTCGTTTTTGCTCCGCAGTTTCGTTAGCTACAACACAGACGGTGTTTTACACACATAAAAGATCCCGGGCCTCTTCTTGCAATCTCTGAATTGGAAAAGACTACTCCATTCTACATAGATAGATGATTTCAACGTTCATTAACTTTATTCTTAAGGTTTGACTACAGCATGAAATATCTGTTTGCTGATTTTGTTAGGCAAGCAGACACATCAACAGGCTTACTCTATGCTGATAGACCTAACCTAAAGTCACCTCCATTGCAGTGATGTCATCACATCGATGCAAAAGACTAGTCGATACCAGGTTGGTCCGGTATACGCATTGCTGCAGTATATCTTGACTTCTTTATGACAAGGTTTGCGGACGAAATGTCCAAAATGGGATATTGCTCCCTTTTTCACACAATGTTAATCTACATCTGAAATTGACTCTCATCCGTTCTTTTTTGCTTTCTCTCCTTGGCGGACCGCATTGTTATTGCAGGAGTCACTCGAAACCTAGGAATCACAAACACAGAAGAATTCACCCGGAGATATACCTGTTGACTAGCCGGCCGCAGAATTTGAACCTTGCCTGTTCTCAATATTCGTGTGCTTCCCAGCTATTGCTGAAACTTTAACCGCCATGTTTACTGTTGCGTGTAGACTTTGCAAGACCTGTTGATGCAAATCCGTTCCTTCTAGCTATCCGATACCTATACAACCGATCTGAGATTACTGTGATGCATGCCTCGTTTGCAACTAACGTTTTTTTATGCGCTGGGGCATATTTTTATTCAGCATGGCCTAACCTAAACTGTTGTGTCGAACAGCTCATCCTGTCGTATCATGTTATCAATCCGCTGAACGCGGTGCACACAATGGAATCAAACACAATAGAACTGCACCTATAACCCACTATCCAGTGGACAAATGGGGGAGATTTGTCCGCATAGTGAAATGAGCATTGCGGTTTTCAGTGGAGGGAAGTAACGCTCATCATAATCATCAATACACGTTAGTTGAGGGTGAGAAACACACTTCAGCTAATGTGCCACAATATAAAATGGTGGGGTACAGAAAATTACACTACTACAACTTCAAAAGTAGGTAATATATTGTTGAATATCATATTATGTAATTCGCATGAGCTCGGAGTAGGAAGGGGAATCTAAAATGGAGGGGTGGACAAAGAGATTCACAACGCAAACGCCATTGGGGTCGACTCTTCGCCATATCAGCAGAGGTGTCCAACCAGATGTGTTCCTCGTTTTTAGGGTCCAGCGAGGCAGTCGGCATGCTCCAACCGACGCCAACTTCAACGTGAGGAAGTGACGATGGATGGAAGGCTAGCGATATTCCTATCGAATTAACGAATTATCGCAATCCCAGCACATAAGACGGGAAGCTACTTGCTGAGATCCTCTAAAGTCATCAGTCCATATGCCCTACAGTTCCGTCATTAAAAACCAATACACTAGACATAATGAAGTGCGAGACATGGATTTTGAAATTGTATTTGTCGCTTTTCCTTGGGATCATTTAATTAGCTAGAGCAGGGGTGTCAAACTCAATCTCACGGCGGGCTAACTTCGAAATCACACTTAAGATAGCGGGCCACATGGCATAATCATTCCTTGAACAATGGAAAACGAAGTCTTTTTTAAACAGTAATATTAATTAAAACCGACACAAATTTTAATAAAATCAAAATAAGACACACTATTTTTGGCTCTTATGCCGATTTGTTATAACTGGATGTTTGGCATCTTTTCTTGTCGACATGTTCATTAATGTTTGGGCTTAAGGCTCTGTGTAATGGAGATTCTCAGGATGCATTGCAGGTCTTCATCCCTGAGGTGACTCCTGTGTGATGTTTCGTTGCTGCTCATCACAGAGAACAGCTATTCACACAGATATGTGCTACCAAACCTACTCAACGTTCGAGCCGCATGTAGGCGAAGCTGGGACATGCCTTGAGTACCGCATTACACTGCAACTCTCTGAGCTGCATCTGCAAGTGTACGGGTGCAATTTCCACGTCTATGGCAAGTGGGGTGCGAAACAGCTCGAAATTACTTCCCTGTTCGTCGAAGTCACTAAAGAGCAGTGCGAACTTAGCGCGAAAAGAACTCAGTTTTGCAGCAAAGTATGTATTTTGGAACATCATGGCGCTGACTTGGGTCCGCATTACTTCGCAACAAGGAGAGTGAGATAGGTTACATTAGTACATTTATGTTTCCCATAAGGACAGCTTCACTTGAAATACCTTCACTGAATCTTGGATATCAGTGTTAAAGTAGTTTCATCCCTGAAGCTGCAGGTTTAAGACGTTGAGATGAGTGGTAATGTCAGACAGAAGCACCAACACACATTTCCACATGTTTATCACGCAAAACGGTGCAGTCTTTTCCCTTACTCTCCATGAACTGTCAGTTTGTTAGAACCCAAGGGGCAGGCGGTAATTGTTTATTGCTAAAGTGGCTTACACTAGGTGTGTTCGTCCATACCTTGGAGGCGTCCACTCATCTGCGTGATCTCCATGGAGTGTTCCCCAACTGGTGCTTGCCTCTGTGTTCACTGCTCGTACGCATGGAACTGTAATCCTGATGTCATCTTCAACTTTGGGGAAGTCGGCAGGGCTCGCTGTTGGTGTATCATATTGCACCACCACACTACTTATACCCGGCGCAGTAGTATCTACCTTTAATCCACCATACTC